CAGCAAACAATTTGCCTGGTCACTTTGTTTTGTCAACGGTTGTGTAAAAAAGACCAAAACCAAGCAAAGACTGCTTTTAGGTAAGGATGGTATGCAAGGACTCTAGTTTTAAAACACAGATTTGGATCATATCTGCAATCTTGTTAGTCAGATGAAATAATAAGGAATAAGGGATAAGGTCCCTAAATTCTTATTTTTCAGTAATTGTTTATTTGCCTTGCTGAATTTTAAATTTCAAAAAGACAAGATGGTCAGAAGCACTGTAATTTTTCAAAGATCATGCCCCTTTTCAGGTTGCTATGTCACTCAAAGTGATATGCACCAGATATGTCCCAGACATGCACAATTCTTTCAAATGCCATCATGAAATTCCACAAGTGTGAACGTAAAATGTCCCAAGGAGACTCTTGCATCATTAATGCAGCGGTGTTTTCAGCAGTAGACTAGGATTCTCTCTGTGTTACAAGACAAGGGCCAAACTGTTTGGTTTCTATTATTTTTTGTCCAGCTCTGTCGTGGTTTAACCCCAGCCGGCAACTGAGCACCACACAGCCGCTTGCTCACTCCCCCCCTGGTGGGGTGGGGGAGAGAATCAGAAGGGTAAAAGTGAGAAAACTCATGGGTTGAGATAAAGGCAGTTTCATAGGTAAGGCAAAAGCTGCATGCGCAAGCAAAGCAAAACAAGGAATTCATTCCCTACTTCCCATCGGCAGGCAGGCGTTCAGCCATCCCCAGGAAAGCAGGGCTCCATCACGTGTAACAGTTACTTGGGAAGACAAACGCCATCACTCCGAATGTTCCCTCCTTCCTTCTTTTTCCCTCACTTACATACTGAGCATGATGTCATGTGGTATGGCATAGCCCTTTGGCCAGTCTGCGTCAGCCCCCCTGGTTGTGTCCCCTCCCAGCCCTGCCCCGTGCACCCGGCAGAGCATGGGAAGCTGAAAAGTCCTTGACCAGTGTAAGCACTGCTTAGCAACTATTTAGCAACAGCTTAGCACAACTGAGCAAGAACCAAAACATCAGTGTATCAACATTATTCTCATCCTAAACCCAAAACACAGCACTATACCAGCTACTAAGAAGAAAATTAACTCTATCCCAGCTGAAACCAGGACAGTTATACGTAAAGCCCTCTCCTACCTTCAGCCCTAGAAATGGCAAACATAATTTCGGTTGAGAGTGGCATCTCCTGGAACTACTTAATTTGTGAAAATATTAATTTTTCATATGAAAATCATTAAATTTCTAGTCCTTTCATACCGAGAAGAAATTTAGAAGGCAAACAAAAACAACCAACACATACAATTTATAATTTCATTATTTTTAAGGAAATATCATGCTATTTGATTAATGCTATACTTTCAAAAACTTATTCTTAACTTATTTTATTTTCAGCCTTAGTTAGGAAATATTTGTTTCCAGTAGTATTTTATTACTTTAAGGAACATTGTTAGCGGGCCTGATGTTTATAATAGCTGGCTTTCATAACATTAACATTGGGTGTCATTTTACAGTTGGTACAATTTGAGGTAGAAATAAATAAAACATATTAGGTGCTTCATTATAAATTGTGCCTTATAATCAAATACCTCTGATAGCAGATATATCATATGAAGAAGCAGTATTAGGCATAACCTTACCAGTCAGGCCTAGCCAGTATAAGTGGCTTTAAATTGTGCACCTTCGAAACATAGGTGTGCCTCATCTTACTTCATAATAATTACAACATAAAAGTACTGTGAAAGAAGCCTTAGCAACAGTTTGCACTTTTGCTGCCATTTGGAAGTGGCAGCTGCAGGGCCCGGGACGAGCCTTCAGTTCCCACAGAAACTGCTGCAGTCAGAAGCGCTGATATAGGCTTCCCCGGGAAAGCAGAAATCAGAAGTGAGCAGAAGACTGCAGACCTCGTTTGGGAAAGGAGCAGTGCTTACTGACTGGCTAGGTCAACAGGCAGGCTTTCCTCTTAATACCACAGATTTTTCAGTTTCCTAGAAATGTCGAAGAGAAATGTGGAAGAATGAAGAATAATGTGAAAACTACAAAGTAGTCCAGCTTATGTGTCTCAATTTAAGCATCAGAACCCATTTTGGCACTCAGGTTACTTAGTTTTGGTCACTGCTTTTGAATACTTTTACTTTATTTACCATTACTGATATTTTTGGTAGAGTAACACTAAAAAAAAAAAAAAAAAAAAAAAAAAAAAAAAAAAAAAGGCACCAATATTCCTAGTACTACAAATGCACTTACAAAATATACTGGTGTTTTTAGGTTGCTGACAGCATCTGGTCCCCAGGAACACAACATAAGAGATAATATAAAATCATTGTATGTAATCACAGCATGTTGTTCATGCACTGCAATGTCTTCCAGGTTGTAGAAATTATAACTGGCCTACTAACCAAATGCAGTGTTTTATTCAAATCAGGTGATGGTCTTCTATGTTAACATTTTCAGACCCCTGCAAAACTGTCTCGCAGAGGTGTGAGCACTGTACTTTTGAATATAGTTCTTAAAAAAGGCTGGCTTTTCTTGGTTACTTTATGCAGACTTTTTCTTCAGTGAGGTTGCGGGCCTCTGTGTATTAAAACTGCTGCAACTTCTGTACTGTCATGGGCATATTAACCTCTGCTTTTTAAATCGCTGGGCTTGATGTGGTGCGCCTTCCTTATATTGCTGCCAAATGCTGTGTGTGACACCTAATACATGATGCTTCCCTCTCCTTTTTGGGATGCTGTGTGCCTCAGTCCCTGCCTTTTATCCAGGGCGTGGGCTCCTCCCCTTAAGCACAGACTTAAAGCAGGTGGCTGTTGCACCTGGGTGGACATCCCCTCCTCTCCTGCAAGCCTGGCTTTGCTCTTGTATCTGCTGATACATACAAATTCTGATTGCTGCTTCTTGCTGTGCAGCGCTGAGAAGTGGGTGCACCCTCAGGCTGTCATTTCCCAGCACTGGTGGACTTCATTAAGGTATTTGCATCTAAAGTAAGCTGGATGCTGATGGAATAAGTCTGTATGGGTAGAAAGTGTGAAAGATTCTCAGTGACTGGTAATGTATCTTTAAATAGTTGAAGGACTTTGACTAAATGTACTTTATCATGCTCGAAATTTTTGTATCGCCTTTGGAATCAGTTTGAGAAGAGATTTTGCTTTTCTTACTTGACTGTTAAGTTAAAACACCAGCTGCAGAAATGTTTGAGGTTTTGTGTCTTTTTGTGGAAGAAGTGACTGTAAATGGGACTAATGGTACTGATGCTAAATGAATCTATCAATCAGAGGAGTTATGTCTTCTGCAGCACTGGTTCCACTATCCTTCAGCTATTTTTAAGCTCACATCATCTGCCCATTGATTTTTGATACAATTTTGTTTGGCTTGCTGTTCTTATAGTTTCTTTGAACTGATTCTTAACAAATGTTGACAAACTTTCTACTTTAAATATACATGAAAATCCAGAAGGTTTTAGCCACAGCAACGTTTGGGTAGCTTTTCTTCTGTCTTGCTTGCATTACATAGCTTTAAAATAGGTATGAATTGCTGCTTATTTTGATCTGGTTGCTTTTCTCAGACTTTTTGTGCAGGTAAAAAAGACTGCATGTAGGCATATAGGTGTATTTTATGATGAATCAGCGCTGGCATACACCGAGCTATATTCACACCAAGAAATAATACCTGTAACAATTTTCAGCACTTTAGAAATGGAATTTTGCTGCTTACTATCTCCTAATTACTATTTTCTCAATCTTTTTAACAAGAACATGTGAGTTTATTCTAATGGTTCCAAAAAACATTTTTTAAAATTCTGTATCACTATCGCTTCTAATTCATTTACCTTTACCAGGTATTTCTATTGCACATGGTGTTCCCAGGTTCTTTTGACAGAACACAGCCTGATACGCTATAGGTCGTAGGATGTCACCTCAGTGCTTATGTCCACAGATCTAATCAGCAAGAAGGACAAGAAAATAGGGAGATAGTAAAGACAGTATCTGATGCTAGAGACAAATGCGGCTGGCATCTTCGATGCTATTTTTCCTTCTCAGCAAGAAGGAAGGAGTAGTTATAAATCTTGCTTCAGCTGTTACTTCTGTCAGTGAACAAAAATACTAAAGCTGCTGTGATAAAGCTGAATGTGGCTCTGGTTACTCCACCATCTCAAAAAGGATATAACAAAATTAGAAAAAGTCCAGAGACGGGCAGCAATGATAGTCATGAGTATGGAAGCACTGCCATATGAGGGATACCTAGGCCAACCAGGCCTTTTCATTCAGGAAAGAGCTGACTGAGGACAGAAAGAATACGAGAGAAGATCTCAGAAATGCTCAGTGGCAAATCCTGAGAGATGCACCATTCACTTTCTTTACTGTACTACCCTGTGGCCATCAAGTTGTAGGAGTTGGATTAAAAATAAGAGATCAGTCTTTATGCAACAGATAGGAGAGCTGTGCAACTCATTGCAAGAGGATGTCGTAGATGCTCACTGTTCATAGGAATTTAAGGGGAGACTGGATAAATACATGAAAGAGAAGTTCATAGATGTTTCCTTTATATAAAGAAACTGCATCCCTAGACATCCATTGTACCACTGCAGTAGAGGGAATATTAAAGTAGGTAGTCCTTACGTTTTCTAGGTTTTTAGATGGATCTTATATTTTTGTGTATGTTCTAAAAGCCTGTGTTTTTAAACGATCATCCTGAAATCCCATATCAATTTATTTTGCTGCTTGTTATGTTCTTGTGGTCAATGACTCAAATAGGAGAAAATATTAACCAAGGGTGTTGCCCAATACTATTCCATCACCATTTATAGAAGCCAAACTGGTTTCCACTGTTGCATGAAGACTATCTCATATCTAACATGTTGTTTTTGTAGCACAAGCAGTTCTGATGACAGAAAATATTGCAGCCCGCTGTTTCAAATTAGACTTAATTCACTCTGATTTTGCTATACCTGAAGAGTTGTCTTCTAGAATGATGTGTTGTTTTCTTGGGTTTTTTTAGGAATGGAGAAGGTGGTTGTTTGTTGGTACAAAAAGCCAAATGCTCTCTGTAGGCTGATTTGCTTTTCGTGGGCTGCAGGTGGAACTTCTGAATTTGCTGTATGGGGCAAACTCTTCAACAGCTCAGTTGAAGGTGAGTCATTTGCGTAGTTAAAGCAGAAGTTAAGCAAGTCTGAAATACACAGTAGCCAAATTTTTTGAATGGAATATAATGTTCTTGAGAGCACTGCAATCTTTTTCCAGTGGGTCTTATCCAGAAAGGTATTCCATTACAAATTAGCATTTCCATGAGGGTGCTGAGTGTACTAAGTTTCTGTACCACCTTGGATCAAATTATATTTGACTAGGTTAAAAAGTTGTATCTTCAGAGCTAAATTTCACAAGACTATAGTATGCTTGACTGTCTCAGAAACTATTGGTATGATTCAGAAACAGCAATACACTGGCATATTGTTAATATGTTAAAAAAAGGCATCACAAGGTTAACAGAGAAGATACGAGAGCTATTTTTAATGTTGAGAGACTGCACAGAATGAATTGCCATTATCCAGAGTATTTGCATGGTTTTGAACTCCTTGTACCAAAACTGAAGTTTAAACTATGGATTTATAACAGTGAAATGACGTTTAGTTACAGTGCGAAGTAATTCTCATTGCTATCGGGCTATATCAGCCCTAAGAAGATCCATTGCTGAACTATTTGAAGAGGAAACAAGGCCATTTTCCAGACCTTCCACAAAGAAAAAAAAAAAAAAATTTAGCACTTATAGAGAGCATTGCCATTGCAATTGTACCAGTCCTCAAAATGCTTGTATGCTTCCTGTAAACAGTTGCACAAGTCACATCAAATTTTCCTTGAAATTTAAAAAAAAAAAAAAAAAGGGGGGGGGGGGAGGGGGAAGCTTTTGTCCACTGGAACTACTTCCAACAAAGTTGCTAAGGAGATGGCCTAGGAGCAACTGCTGACACAGATGAATAAAATCAGGGTGCAGCATGCTCTTTCAGAGATGTTTTGTGCAGAAAGGAAGTATAGAACATGCAAACTTTTCTGTACTGCTATCTATGGTATTAGGTAGTGGTTTATTCTAACTCTTCTAAAATACTTTGCGTCTGACCCATTACTTCCATATGAGTTTGGCAGTATGCGTGATGTCGAGGAGATTTTAGAAAACCAACATTTTTTTCTGATCTATTCATTCCTTACTTCCTCTAAACAGTCAGAGGAAAATCCCCAATTTTGAAAGGAATATAATAAAAGCATGTAATACGTCCTTCCATATAAATATAAATTGCCATAAATATAAATTGCCATCAGTTTATACTATGATTCTGCATTTTACTACATGCAGTGCTGAAGAGCCTGCAAAGAAGAAAACAGAGACTGTACGATTCTAATATAGTTTAACTTTCTAATGCTGCCCTTGAAAAGATGTACTTTACGCAACCCTCAAACTTGCTATTATTGAAATTAATGAATTTGTGGTTGTTACTAATACTAATAGTATAGTAATAAAGTTGCTTTGAAACCTCAGCTGAGATCAGGACCTTGTGGGATTTCTGAGCCAAGGCATTTATCAATCCGATCAATTGGAGAAGCAACATTTATGAGTAAAGGAAGGGCTGGAAACCTCATCCCTCACAGGATTAAAAGACAGTAAGAGCAATAGCAAATACACTGTATCAACTGTAAGAAGGATTCATGTAAATAATTATATGTTCTGCAGAATAGATTAAAAAATGTAGTTAAAATTAATTTAGTGTTTCCATTTGAAATAACTATAATTCTTTTCCCTCCCTTCCTCCACCTCTTCTGCAGTGTGCTCTATAAGGCTTCCTGGAAGAGAATGTCGTGCTAACGAGCCTTTTGCGAAAGACATGGCAGATGTCGTTAATGAAGTTACAAGTGCTTTGTTAAAAAAATTGCAAGAAAAACCATTTGCATTTTTTGGTCACAGGTAAAAATATATACATTTTTAGATACCCCGGTGAAGGAGCTTTATCTTTGAACTCCAGGAGTAGACAATTACTTGCCTTTATTTGCAAAAACATTAGGAAAATACACTTCTGCAAAGGTCTTTTGTCAAGTCATCCTAAAACATGCCATTGATCTCAAAGACCCTGGTTATTCGTTTATTACTTCAGGCACCATGTCTTCTAAAAATGGCAGTGTTGTGTTTCTTTTTTTTTTTCTTCCCCACTGATAAATTATAGTTGTGTTTACTGTTAATATTTGTATCGGTGCTTGCTCTATATGAATGCAGGCGGTGAACCATCCATAATACACAGCGATTTTGAAGATCACTTAGTCGCAAGTATTCAAAATAACTGTTCTTACTGCAAATTAAGGAGACCGCTAAAAGAAAGAGAGATTAAAAAAAGGTCTGATTGGTAACACTAGATTGTATAGGAATATACTTCATGTCGATTAGCTAATATCACTATAATTTACATGTCATACATGGTTTCAGTAACTGTTCAAGATAGCCAGTTAGCACTGAAATTCAAATTACATTTAAATTTTCCAGTTTTTACATATGTGTTTGCTTACTTTGCTTTAATTTCTCTTTTTGCTGCAGTTTTGGATCTTACGTTAGTTTTGCTGTTGCGCTACACTTGAAAGAAAAGTATGGACTAGAGCCGATCCATCTTTTTACATCAGGGGCACATGCCCCAGTCGTAAGTTACAGAATCATTAATAGTACGAAACAAAACCGTATGTTAGCTACCAAGAGCAAAAGTAACATTTGACAGTATGGTATGCAGAGTGGCTTTAATACAAAATGAGCATTGCTTCTGAATGCATGCAGAAAAATGTTCTGTTTTCTTAGAGGAAATTAATTCCGAGGCGGACAGAGAATTTCATGTTACAGACTATTCACTGCTGCTAACCTTAGCCTAGGGAGAACAGTCACCTTGAACTAATGCTACCTTTTCTGAGTACTGTATTGTTTACTATGGCCTTTGGTTTAATACTAAAAAGTAATCAAAACAAAATGTAAAGTGCAACTCCCTACTCTGTAACGTGTGAAATAACTGTCTTAACCTAGTCTTTCATAAACCTCCTGCCCCAGCCCCCAGTACCTTTGTCTCTTTCTTTCCCTTGTCATTCTTTGTTGGCTTTGTCCTCAGTTCCTTCTGAGGTCCTGGTGGTTCTGCTAGTCTTTCTCAGGGAAACAACAGTGAAGCGGCTTTTTCCCAGTCCTCCTGTCCTCAGTCAACATTTTCTATTTCCCTTCTTCTGTTTTTGGGGCTTCTTAGCAATCCTGAGTACGAGCTAGTACTTCATGGAAGCAATTATTGTTCCTGTGAATTTCCATAATCTGTTGGTCTCATCAGTCCTACATTAGTTGGATTTCTGTCCACTGCTGGGCTTTTCTTTTCCTTAAATAAATTATTTTATTAGTTGTATTTCAATAGTGAGAGTCAAACTTTGAACAAGATTAAATTAATGGTTATTTGTCTGTGGAAGTTTCAGACCTTGCGGGTACTTGGCTCACTCATAATCTGTATTTTCAGCAAACACAGTCTACTAACCCTTTCCAAGAAGTATCCTCTGTGGCTGTTAGACTAATAAGCCATTGTATTTTGGAGACAGATAATCCTTGTACTTTTTTACCAAGCCAACTCTTAATGAAAGTATTTTTTTTAAAGTATATTATATGCAAGACCTGATCTGTTTTGTCTGGTCCTGACAGTCTAAAGCATTGCTTCCCATGAAATCCATAAACATGTATGATGTACAAGATGAAGACATTGTTAGATGTATAGAACTTCTTGGAGGAACTTATTCTGAGCATCTGCAAAATGAAAAGTGTAGGAAACATCTGCTAGTTGCTCTTAGAGAAGACCTAAGAGTTCTTCAGACATTTTCGTAAGTTCTACAATGTTGTATTACATTTATATTTGTATTTTACGGTTTTAATTCTGTCTGATCATTTCAGGTTTTCTTTTTTTCTTTCCCTGTAATTTGTTCTCATTTCTGTTATAAAAAGAACATGAAACAGTAAACATAGTTTTCTCCTTTGTGTGCTCTTCCATTTATATTCTAGATTTAAGCCCTAGATGAAAACACAGCTTACTGTAGCAACCACTACTGTTATTACTGTCAGGAACAGGTCACGGTAGAATTACAGTTCTACTTAGGATCCAAAGTTAGTAGCCACTAAAAGGAATATTCTTGCATCTTTTATTGTTTTCTGAGGCTAATAACTCAATGGATCATGCTTCAGGATCACTGCATTGGGCCTCCTGATCCAATGCCCCCAAGCCTAACCAGAAGCAAAGAATCCCTGTGTTCTACACATCTGGAGAGCAACTGGCCACTTCTGTCCTAACTGCTGTCCCCACTGGATGTTACACAGCAGCTCACACAGCTGAGTGGTTAAGGTGTTTTACCCTTGCAAAGACAAGGATACTCTGGGATGTGGGACCCATTTTAGCCATACGAACCTGACGCTGATAAGGCCCTGAAACATTAGAACTTGAATATAAGCACACAACATAATAATTTATTGTAGGTGAGAATTTTTATTGCAGGTCGAAGCTCTTTTTTTCCCTGACTATTGCGTCATTCTTTGTTTAAAATTTTAGACCTAATTGCAGTAGGGTAAGGAGCTAAGCATCTTACAGGTACAGTAATTCCTTCTTCTGATGTTCTGCATAATCTAATTCCTGAAGTTTGTTACGTTTTGGAGGAGAAAGAAAAAGCTATTTTGTATGTGGAAGCAAACCCCAAATAGAGGTATCTTATGGAAAGTTTTATTACTACTTTTTATGTTCACAGTTTTGAGAAGCCAGAAGGCAGTACCCCCTTCTCTTGTGATGTTACCTCCTTTAACGGGTCTGAAGATAAACCATACTATTTAGAAGGTATTTTGCTTAAATGGTTTTCCTCTTATACTTACACATTCTCCTGTTGTATAGAATCAGTTAATGAAGAGTTTTCTGGAGTCTTTTATCTCCTTCTTAAATGAAACAAATCAACAGAGCAGTCTCAATGTATGACCCAAAATAGTTGATACAGGATTTAAAGTAATTATGTAGTTATGTAGTTATGTAAAATGACCACAATAGTTGGCATTTCTCTGACACTTTAAATACCTTTTTTTAGCCTGGCACGATCTAACAAGTGGAGATGTTTTCTTGTACAAGCTTCCTGGATGTCACTTTTATCTGCTGGAACCTGCTAATGAAATTTTCTTGATAAAACACATAACAAGATGTATAGAAAATGCTGGTCTGTGAGTATTTCCCTCTGTTCTAATGGCAGAAGGTGTAAGATTAGTCCACAGCACTTCATAAGAAGTCATTCCTTCTGTACTGTTGCATGCGGTTATGCTTAAGAGTTGTTCTGTTCCTCCAGATCTTTATTGTAATCCTTTAAAAGGGGGAGTTTCTCTGATTTTTTGAAAATAAACATTGGCTTTGGGTCTTAAAGTTTTCATCTTTTCGTTCTTCTCATCTTGCATGTGCGCAAACCCTTCACTTCATTCCATAACCTCATTTGCAAAAAATGACAGCATGTTATTTTACTTTTAGAGCTTCTCTGTTTGCGTGCTCCTGTAAAAATGCTGAATATCATTTAATACCCACAAAAATCTACAATTCTTACAGAAAGTTTAATTTATTAGATTCAAATTTATTTAGAATAAGATACAATCTAAATATAGAGTATGTATGTAAATACCCTTTACAGTCAAACAGCTTATGCTTAAAAGATTTTACTGTCAGAATACACAATAAGGAGTTAGTAGTGCTTTTTCTCAACAGAGTTAGTTCAGTAGCTAATGAAGCGTTAGTTATTAGTGGGAATTATTTTGATTATTCTAGATCCCGTATTTTTCTACCATTGCTTTTGCTTTAGAGATATAGGCATTCATGGCGTCCTCCTTGGATAAACCTGCAAAGGAAAGTAAGAGTCATTATCTTTCCACACTTGTCATCCTATAAACATGACTACATAATGTAAATTTAATTGGTGTAACACCTTTCTTCAGGTTCCATGCTTCCCATTTGGCTTTGCCTTTCAAATCTAACATTCCTGGACATTCTGCCAAAATAAATGCATACCTCTGGTTATCATGCAGGTTTACATAACATTAGCTTGATTTCATCAAGATATGGCAGTAAATGTGAAGTATATATAGGAATACCAATATTAATATCTCCAACAGTAGCCTGTTTGTAGAATCCATATAGTTCCTTCAGTTCTTCATCAGTTGGTCTTGTTTTTAATTTTTTTACATCTTCCGCAGCACCATCAAAGTCAGCCTGATGAAAGAAAAGAAAGTGTTAGTTTCCCTCTCAAGGGGTGTGCTGACACAATTAAGTATAGCACTCACAGTAGTATCATTAGATATTCTCAATTACTTGGGTTTAGTGGTAAGTCTAGGCATTTTCCTATGAAAGCAGCTTAATAAAAGCATAAGCTATTAGAAAGGGAACCAGGCCTACTTAGCTGATAAGGTCAGCACTGCTAAAATAAGTAAACCTCTCTTTTCCAACAGTTTTACATCTAAACACTTGGAACCATTACAGACTGTCTAGTATCAGGGTATCTACAGATATATTCATTGCATAGGCTGCTTACATGAATATAGTGTATATGTCTTTTACAGTCACACTGGGGGTATGAAGGTGTTCATTGAACTTCAGAGCCCAGCAGTAATCTCTGACTCCTTTTGTCCCTGACTGCATGGTGTTGACTTGAGCGGCAGAGCTCGAATACCCTCTGGGGGGGACTGCCCAATTCCCCCTTCACTTCCACATCTCTCCTGCCAGGGCAGTAGGTGACCAACAGCTGGCACAGATGTACCTCACGCTGATGAGCACCGCTACTGCCAGGACCACCTTCAACTTTAGAGTTGGATCTGCATTTGCAGAAGCACGATATATCCTGCGAGATGTGCTATTACAACATATATTAAATATGTAGAAAACCAGCCTACAACTTTGTGCTAAAAGCAGTGACGTATTCAACAATGGTTTCGGCATGAGCGCTGTGGCTCTGTTTAAATAACTGAGACGCTGGCATTACCTCAGCAGTCTGTACTGTGCTTCCTTAGACCACATTTTCCTTTCTCTAGTTACAGGAAAGATTTTTTTTTTTTTTTTTTTTTAAATAAGAAATTGTAATCCACATTTGTCTCCTTAACTGATGCCTTTCTCTTTGGCAAGCAACTGTGCTGAGCGGACCAGGTGATAGAAATAAGCAACTATGCATGAGAGCTGGGTTCATAATAGCATTTGGTATTTAAACAGAGAGAAAGGTTATTTCTGTATTTAAATTCTCACAGCCAGATTCCAAGTGCCATTCGTCTGCTTAAAGCTCTGAAACTTGGTCGTTCAATGAAGTATATGATTTGGCAGAGTTACCGCACTGAATTCTAAATCAAATGACTTCCAAATTATATTCTTAAATTGTAGTAGAGATAAGGGCTGGCGACCGGAAGATCACGTGCTGTACGGAAAGAGTTAAGGGTCGACCCTCCCTTGTCTCCGACCCTTATATCATGACACGCCCACTGCTGGGGGTAGAAAGCCCGGGTCGGCTGGAGATCTGGCGGGATAACCTTGATGTGTAGTGTTTGCTACATTAAATTAAAAACTTTATAGACTGAAAACATGTAACTATGCTTATGCAGTTTGTTCCTGTTTTAACAAAAATAATTCTCAATAAAATGCAACTGTACCACGGAATTATAGAAAAACATGAAGCTTTAAGTCCAATTTTTTGTGTCTGATTTCTTTTAAGAACAACTAAATGCTGTGGATTTTTTAATTTTTTTTTTTTTTTAACCAACCAAATATTTGGGAGTGCTGCAAGACAAATATAGGATTTTTCTAGAATTAAAAACCAGAACGCGCAGAATGTATTATACGTAATTTACAGAAACCAAAGTCACGTGCTCCAGAGTACATATAAAAGCTGAATCAATAATGTTGAAATCGCCTTACAGCATCTCTTCTCAACATTTCTTTTTTTATTTCCATGTACTCTGTTGTTTATTTAAAAAAAAAATCTGCATTCTAGCAGGAATTAAACTAATCAGGAAAACTATTTTAATTGAAGTAACTGGATTTAGTCAGCTTGGATCAGAATTAAAAACAGATTATATGGACAACAAAAGCTCTTTTGCTACTTTGTTCTGCATAAAGAAAACATAAATATTTTCTTCTACATATTTAATGTCAGAAACATGAAACCTGATTATTTGCTTTCCTGAAAGGCTAGAAAACTGGAGTGCAAGCTTTCTCACCTCAGTTGAAGGAGTAAATTATTAAACATTTCATAAAGTCTCTTCTGTCCCAATTAATCAAAGAGTTTACGTAATATTTGAGGGGCTTGTTTAGTTCTGTTTTGAACATAAACTAAAATCTTCACTGCGAGTTGCAGCTAAACTGAGTTTGAAAAAAAAAAAAAAGTGGTCTACATGATAATAAGTCCTTGAACTTTCAGGCAGAAGTTGCAGTAATACACAACTACTGCACAAATTACATACATACTGTATGAGCAGAACCTGTTCTCTGCACCGCAGTCAAATTCAGCTTTTCTGACGGCTGCAAGCTCTCGGAGTCAATACCACCTTTCTCCTCTCCGTTTGCAGAACCCGAGTGCTCTTGAGTAGGGCTCCCAAATACTTTAATGATACAGACAGTAATAGTTGCCCAATGTTCCCCTTAGAAGCTTGACAAAGTACAAATTCCACAGGTGGTACCCTACAAATAGTCACACTGGTATAAGTAAATAAATCTTGGAAAGTCTATGGAGGAGGGTCCCATTTAACAAGTTGTCATATTAGCAGCTTAATGATTTAAATTAAATAATAATAAAAGCAAAAGTTTCCCCCAAAGCCACTTCAAGCATCATTAAAGCATCTAGTTGTTACCAACTAACTAAGCCTAAGGATTTCCTCTGTTCCTTCCGTAACTGTACCTTACCTCTGATCATCTGTTGCTTATTAATGGGAGGGACGCCTACCACAGGGAAGAAACTCAAGAAGAGGACACGACACTTAACAGCAAACACTTTTCAGGACTGCAGGAGGGTTAGGAGGTATGCAATAGCATGCATAGAGTCCTCAGCCTTCACAGTATCTAGTGACCTTTTTGTAAAGTTATGCTCATGTTGAGAGGCCTTTTCTAACCTGTATAGGGTGGCATTTCGTAGTCTGAAAGCAAAGGTGTATCCCCCCACTGCCACGAAACAAACATTTTGAAATTATCTTAAAGTAATAAGCTCTGCGGAGCAGGAGTTATATCTTCTGACAGGCCTGAAAAACAAGTATTTCTGGCAATTTAGCTAAACAAAATAATTTCAGTTTGATGTAATGTTTTAAACTAGCAATAGTGACATTAATATTGATGTAGATTCAGTACTTATAAATAAGAACGTCAGATACGTATATTCATGAATGGATGGTTTTGCTGGTGGTGAAGTATCTCAATGTATAGGTCAGGAGACACAGTTTTAATATTTGCCACAAAGTGCAAGTCCATTAATTTTTGTTCTTCTAAAACCCCTTTAAATTGCAGATGTTAAAAGGAAATAAATATAGAAACATTTTATGAACGTAACTATACAAGAATGAAAATCTTTATATTTCAGGTCAAATCAGTAAATGATAAACCTTTAGAAATCTCTTGTCAGCTGGCCAAGTTTTCATGATGCACACAGTAGTACAGTCTGATCCCCAAGGAACCCCTGCTGCAAAATCTTTGTAGCCACAGCTGGACTGCCATGGTTGCAATAGCTGTGGCTACAGACAGGTATTTCAGATAATTTAATTTCTTCTTTAATTATTGAATGTGTTGAACAGCAATTAAGTAAAGACCAGTACAAAGAAACTCCTCCTAATTACTCTGTAAGCTATGGCATTAGAATTTCATTGGACTTCATAAAGTTTACAGCCCAAGTTGTAACAGTATTTTCCTTAGGATCAGTTGGTAGGATAATGCGAAAACTGTCTGTTCTCCACATCTGCTTGTTCTTGATGTCATAGAAGAAAAATCCATAAAACAAGAAAACAATAATCTCAAATTTGATTAGAGAAATCAGTTCTTTCTCCAGAAATGATAGCTTTGATAGCTTCTAGCTTAGGCGCAAACAAAACCATTTTGAATCATGCATCATTCAATCCTTGGCTTATCCTAGATGCTCAAAAGAGAAGCATCTTTGGCCATAAAAGAAAAAAACCAGTGCTTTAGTAATTAATCACAGTCCATAGTTCATGTGTGCTTCTTGTAAGCAACATAAAGTCCTCACTATGAGGAATTCATAATATTTGTAACAGTAATATTCGCTTTCATGAAAGCCTTGCAATCTTCATTTTTCTCATGCGGTATTTTCTCTTGTTCTCCTTCTGTAGGGTAACTGTACCAAATTTCCTATGACCACCTGAAATGCTTCAGCAAGTTCAGATGTTAAACTCAATTTTTCACCAAAAATTGCCAAGGGCCATAGAAAGTAAGTAAATATCACTATCCTTCCTTTTAGAAGCAAAACCAGAAAGGTGAATGCACACGCCCTGAGGCCAGCAAGTCGCCAACAGCGCGGGGAGAGGATTCAGGGCTCTGGGGCATGAGTGCGCTGCCCTGTGCCTTAGGCATAGCATGGGTGCCTTCGGCCTGGGAGCATGGGGGTGGACGGACACGTCGCTATAAGATAAACCGGAGTCTGAACTCACACTGCTTGTGAGACTGTTTGCAGGACTTTTTACCTCACTATACACCTTGACAGATAGGTAGCTCATGCATCCACGAAGATAGGCCCGGTCCACTTTGTGCCTCCCTCAGGGCAGGAGCAAGGACATGGGCGCCTACTGTGGAGGAACTCAGATGCTCTGAATTTACACCCTGCCTTACCCCAGCGTCCCTCCAGACATGCCATGCTGCTGCGCAAGGTTTCAGACACTGCTGCATTAGAATACGAAGGAGTTTTGCACTCAGGTACCAGAACTGTAGTCTAATTATGCAGAAACACATGTCCGCACATGCACTAACAAAAATACTTTTAATAGATATACAGCATTTATTGTGGAGATGTGCTCAATGAGGGGAATCAAAATCAGCAATGCAACTAGCTTAGTACTGAATTAAAAATAGTGTCCAAAAGAAACTGGAACTGTACATCTTTGACACGTCTAAAACCAAAGCATTTGTATTCACACTGTTGGTACAGATATATAAAAGGGATGTACGTTTGCTTATGAAAATAAATGTGATGGGCCACCACCCTTAAGTTTTATTTTATAGGTAAAATTTTATTAAAATAAATATTTCATTCTTAATTCAAACACCAGTAGATGTGACATACTTGACTATACCTATCCCTCACTCCTACATCTCTCGATATTATCCATACACGTACAAACAAAACCAGCATTCATGTTCTGTTAAAAGTAAGATTATGAAGCGGTATCAATAATAAAACATAACTGAGTTGCCACAATTGATTAAATAAGTTTTATCTTTATACTGTGGCCACTACAGCATGTGGGCCTGTGCCAGCATTGATGTACAAGGACTATTCAAGTCAGTGGAAATCTTCCACATGCCTTGAATTGTTTTCTGATCTAAACTTCACAATAAGAATGAACCAGAAGCTTTGTTAGACTTGTACAGACAAAAGAGAACTCAAAAAAATAAAGGAAGGAAACCCTTAAGTAAATAAGCTTCTTATCTTCATATACTTTTATTCTATTTAGATCTACAGGCCAATATCACAAGATACTGTTTTAAAAATATGCAAATCCATATCTTGTGCAGCAAGAAATATGCAAAAATGAAATTTAAATACTAAACACTTCTTTCTTCATCTCCCTCTAGCCAATCATTGTACACAGACTGTTACTTACGATTTGCTTGCTTACACAACATGCTTAGGAGCAGCCTATAAAAATATAATTTCGTTTTAATCATGTGCTGATACAATTCCCTTCAACTCCTCAAGTTAAAGGCATAAGTAAATATACAGACATAAACATACACAGATGCATTAAAGATAAACGCACAAATTATCACGCTATTGTGACACTCTTTTTGCAAAGAAAAAAGCTTGAATGAATTCTTCATTTACAGCAGAATATTTTACCAGTTTGCAAAACTTATAAATGTTTTACAGCCTCCCTGATGAAAACATTGTTTTATTTATTTTGTTCTCATTCCCATACAGCTTGATACAATGAATTTTAAGGATATGGATGGTAGCTGTCAACCACAGAGACAGTGGATAGAAAACCTCTATAACGTCTAATGCAGGATGTGTAGGATACCGTAATATTTTAACCACTGATTTTTGTGTGAAAGTGTAACTGTATACAGCAATGGCATATCATACTGCACTCAGCTCTTTCTAATAGTGATTTATGGCTCATTGCTTAAACATCAAGATAATAAATTTATTTTCTAGAGTGAATTCAAGGCAGAATAAAACAAACTCTAATTTTAGTGATCACTAACTAAACAAAGGCGGTGTTAACGTTTGGGATTTGGCAATTCTGACCCACTGAAGAAACAGGATTCTTCGTCTTAGCTGTAAAATGCCACAATGAAACCTCTGTACCATTCGACATAATTGCAGCTCACAAGAAAATTGCTGAGCTACTGGCAATACACTCCCTGCATCTAGGTCAGAGCATTATGTTGCTCACTCTTTGCAAAACACGCACACTAACCAAGCTGAGACAGACATTATATTGAGACCAGGATAAAAGGGCTTGCAAATTCTGAAGTGAAAGGGATAATAGAAAGCCTAATGAAGAAAAACAGCCTAATCCATCAGGCCTGGGCAAGACAAGGGAAGAATGCATAGTTTGCTACAAAGGTAGGAGGCTAAAAGCCAGCAATGCAGATAATTTCCTCAAGAACTATTTAAATCTATAGTCAGAGAGAAGGTAGAAGGAAGCTTTCTGTAGCCAAAAGGTAGAATGTAGAAGCTTTCCTACCAAAACACAAGCCCATCAAAATGTACCACTCCAAAGATGCACACACCCTAAAAAAATATGCACAACCCCCTTAAAAATTATTCACACTTCCCAAAGGCACATATACCACTGCTTCAGTGTCAGAAGTTTCCCACCACCTTTTATAGCTCCAAGTAACTAGCTAGATCCTAAAAAAATAAATATGTACCTACCTTTCAATGCATAATCCAGTCCTAGCAAACTCAGATGCACACATGAAGAAAAATAATTCACGCATGCTCTAAACAGGTAAAGCTCCAAAAAATTACATGACCTATGAATAGTTCAAGGTAAGTAGCATGTCTCTCACCCTCCACTTGCAAGAAGTAATGCATTATTTAACCTCCAAAGGCTTAGGCAAATTTCCCACGCCACAAGGTAACCTTGATTTTGCAGTAATAATCCTTATGCTAAAGAAATACCACTGTCTCTGACAAGGCACTGCACAGACGGACAGTGCATCCCTCCCTCTCCTCTCCTTGCATCCCTGTCTCACCAAATGCAGAATTGCTGACCTGGAGAGTCATGATGCTGCGAGGATGCCCAGGGAACGGCCTCGCTCCCTTCTCCGGCAGGGACGCGGCGCTTCTGCCTCTCAGCTCCTGCAGCACGAGCGCGGCGGCGGGGGCCGCGCTCCACGGAGGGTGTTGGGCTGGGTACAAGTGACCTCAGCTCGCTTGCCGCAGCAAGGCCACGCCAGGGCAGGACACGGGGGCTCGCTCCCACTGTGCTTCTTGGGACCTGCGGAGACAACTGAGCGGCTACAAATGATGGGGGAAGGGCAGCGAGGGCATTAAGCCCCCACTAGTTTCTTCAGAAAGCCTGAGCTTGTTTCCATACCCCTGAGGATTAGGCCACCAGCCTGAGAGCAGAGATACAGCAAGACTTCCAAGCCATTTGTTTGAAAAAGGAATTTCTTGAGTGATTTGAACCACAACCAGCCCAGTTACTGCAACTGTTCCCTCTGCCGCAGCCCCTGCTCATGCCCGTGCCTGTGCCCAGCCCTGCCTGGGATCTCGCACCCACCAGCTGCAACTCCATGTGGGTCATCCCAGGAATACCACACAGGAGCAGTTACACACACAAAATACCTTGAGAATGCTGTATTTTCCTTTGCTCTACTAAATACAGAATTAAAAAAAGAATATTAAATGAACTGATAAACTAGCCTACAACAGCAACCATTAAAGGAAAAAAAATCCATCCCTGCTTATCTATTGTATCAATTCATAAATTATTTATATTCACACCTCTATACATTTATATTCAGCATTCCTCAAGCATGGTTTAATTACAATGCTATATGCTTCAGCATTTTTTAAATCCACGAACTTCCATAAATCTGGGACTTAACAAGAAAACAAAAGGAGATTAAAAAAAATTTGAAAGCGACTCCATCAACTCTCGTCTCCAGCGCCAGGAAGCGACGACACTCTGCTCTTTCAGGTACAAGAGGCTGCGCGCAACCACGTTGTGCACTAAGGTGAATGAATATAGAAACCCAATGTGTTTGTAAAGATTTGTTAATGGCTCACGGCAGATTGTGGGCAACGCTGAACGTAACCAGCTCTTACCTGTCACCTTATTGTTAGTTACAGAATACGACGTACGCGCACAATACACCGCATGTTAAACGGCAGTGAGAGATGCCCCTATTGCTGTAAAGTCCCTGTGAAGCACCTGCTGACGTGACTTGGCCATGACTTCATTAGATGACGTACAACAAAGCAGATGTACTATCACCTACAAAGCAATTTATGGTAGCGTTCAAAACGAGGAAACGCCAGTGCTGGACCCGCGGCGGGACCCGCCAAGCGCAGGCTTCTGGCACCAGCGTTTTAACGCTGCCTTTCATCGGACGGCAAGGCGCTGCTTCTCCCGACGGCCTGGCCGCAGCCCCGGGGCCGGCGGCGGGCGGGGTGGGCGCTCTGCTGGGCCGTGTTTCAGCCCGCGTTGCCGTGCCGGGGGCTGGCTGAAGGCTGAAGGCGCTCCCGCCGCGGCCGGGCGGGGAGGCGGCTGGGGAGGGGCCTCTGGCGGCGGCCAGCGTGGGCGCTGCTCCCCGCTCCTCCCTTCGGCGGGCAGCGAGGGGCCGGGACAGCGGTGCGAGGTGCAGGGGCCTCGCCTTTCTTTTTTTGTCTCGTTGCTGTATTTCCTATTCCTCCATGCTTGTGTTCCTCAGTAGCGCCCGTTTTGAAAAGAAAAATGTAATCTTTCAACGGTGAAATCTCTTGTGTTTTGCTCCTTTCTCATATACGAGTCTGTTGCTGACTTTGCGTGATACCCCCTGTAAAAGGTCATCAGAGCATCCCTAATTAAAAGCTTTTAAAAACGATAACCCAGAGCTCTTTTTTTTTTTTTTTTTTAAACCTATCATAAGCTTCCATTTCTAACTCAGGCACGTGTAAGATTGCTAGTGGTCATTTCCATTCTTTAGTTGTTTCCACTTTTTGGTTGTTGCCACTGTGATGGGAAGCAAAGGGGACTAGACAACTGCATGGACGATAGCTCCATGAAGGACTAATAAACCAAGTCGGCAGATCTTCCATCCCTGATGCAGCCATTCCGGGAGCTCGGGAGCAGAGGGGAACGGCGGCCCTGCCCTCCCCGGACAGTTTCTCCAGTTCCCAGTGCTGGAGGCAGACGCCTGGGCTGGATGGACCATCGCCTGGGTGGCCCTGCAGGGCATTTCGTAGGCTCTTCTGAGAGAGGGACGCGGTGCTTTGTTGTATTTTGAAATACTTAATGCAGTTTTACTGTTCTCTGAAAACTGCTTCTGTGTTTTCGACTCTCGTTGTGGATAACAGCTTCACAGTTCGCATTGCACTGATCGAACCCCATTTGATGCATTTCCCCTGCTGGCTTCCAGACAAGGGTTTAACTGAGGGAAAATCCTTCCAGATAGATGTTGCTTTATGGCAGTACCTACTGTTGGGGAAATTTCAGTGAAGATGGCATTTGTCCTTTTTTTAATTTTATATCGGGGTAGCTTACTACCAGTACACAGAGAACTGATATGAATAGCAAAATGGTATCTTGTGAATATCTAAAGGCTGCCACTCAAGAGATGTACATAAATGCTATCCATAGGCCTACTTGGGTAACTACGAAACCTAGGAGAGAGTCATGTCATATTTCTCCCGATTTGAAACCTGAACTGTGCTTATTCTGTAAGCTTGGCTGTGCAGCAATGAAGATATAACTAGTTTAGCAAGGAGATGATGAATAGTAACCCAAGCAGGAGTATGGGGGCTTACTGAGTTACCAGGGCCTGTCATCAGGCCTGCTTTCATGTCTGCACTGTTACTCTGGACTGGATCAATCAGAGCTAGAACAATTACACTTTCTTTGCTCCTGTTTCATTTTTCTCATCCCTAAAGGCATGGTCTAGGTGACACAAGAGTAAAAGACCCCTTCTGAACTTTCTGGAGGCCTGTAGAGGATTGCCTTCCTTCACTGAAAGCATAAATTAAGAGTCTGCAGATTTCTATCATACCTTCTAAATGCAGACAAACACAAGACATGGATTAAAGAATAAAAAGGCAAATTAAAGTTTTAAAAATCCTAAATAAATTCAGGAACTTGGAGCTTGTTTCATGTTGTGATTCTGTTTGTTTTGGGTTTTTTTCCATAATAATGCTACAGTGCAGCTGTGCAACAGTGAAAATTGGTGCTTCAACTTGTCTTTCTGTTTTGTTTTGTGTTTTTGTTGTTTTTTAATCTGTAATACCTCCAGCTGCTTTCCTTCAGCTTCGGAAGGGTCTCTTGTCACTGGTGTTGCCTTGCTGTCAAGTCTGCTGCATTTTTTTATTTATTAAAAAAAAAAAAGGCAGCACAGCATGTGCCTTGTGGAAGATTTGTTAAGGATTAGCACTGAGCTAATGTGAGGAGGGTGATAGTTGCCAGTATCACTTTGAGATGTGATGTTTCTCTTCTGCATTCCCAAGAGAAGCTTCTGATAATGATGTCCACAGCAAACAGTACACTATTTGAACTAATGTTTACCTCTTTCTTCCGTTTACAGTTAGGGTGGCAAAACACAAAAGAGCCTCAGGATGGCTGTAGTGCAGCAAGGGACCGCAACGCTTCGTAAAGCAAAGAAAATCACTGTAAAAACATCTCTAGATAACCCCTTTGTTTTTCAGTGGAAAACCATAGAAGGAGAAGATATGCATTTTATACTGCAGACCTTAGAAGAAAGGATTAAACATATTGGACTTAAAAAGATTGAGACTCCAAGAAAGAAAAAACGTTCCCTTACAAAAAAACAAATGGAAGGAAAGTGTGATGCTAGCACCAAGGAACTCCCTAAAGAAGAGGAAACAGAAGGCCATCGACAAAAACCAGGATGGACTGACATAAGTATCAGAAGACAGCTTGCTATTGGAGTTAATGAAGTTACAAAAGCATTGGAAAAAGATGAACTTCTTCTCTTGCTGGTGTGCAAGTCTGCAAAACCTGCCATGATCACATCGCACCTCATTCAGCTGAGCGCAAGTCGAGCCACACCAGCAGGCCAGGTTCCCCGTCTCAGTGAAACAGTTGCACCACTTCTTGGCTTAACATCCATTTTAGCACTAGGCTTTAAAAAGCAGTCAGATAAATTTACCGAAGCAATAGAAGCAATAATTCCAAAGATACCAGCTTTGGAAGTGCCATGGTTTCAGTACAGAACTGAAGAATCCGTGGCCTATGCACATACAGATTCTTCAGAAAATCAGGAACCCGAGCAGCTTGCAGAGGCGCTGGGGGATGAGCTCACAAGGCAGAAGCGGAAGCGTACAGAAAGCAATCAGCTCGATCTTTCAAATGTAATTTTGCAGCCTTTGAAAATCAAGAAACTTGTTCCAAATCCCAATAAGATAAAGAAACCACCTCGCAAAAAGAAAAAAGCTCTTTCAGCATAACTGTTTTTAGTTTGGTTCTTCATTTTAAACTGATTTTTTTAATGCGGTATGGAGTACAGCTCTAACTGAAGTATTTTGTTAGGCTTTACAGTGTAAAGCACTTGAATACAAGGTGAACTTGATGTTGCACTCAGTTGATGTACTTCCTGCTTTAATAAAGAATATTGCTCACACTTGTGCCTGTCTTTTACCTGGGGGGTAAATATTTCATTTGCAGCAGGAGATCACAGAGTTAAAATCAGTAATGAATAGGCTGAAGTAATTTAAGACATAAAGAGTACATCTTTGGAATTAATGCAAAGCATTAAACAAACTTTGTGTTTTTATACAGATGAACATGCTTCAAGCAAGATGGATTTGAGTTAAGTATAATTATTCAAACAAATCAATACCAAAAGTGAAAGTTTATTTAAACAAAGGTCCATGCCGGTACAACTCTTTTAAAGCTGGTTCAATCCTTGTTTCAACTAAACAGCTGTAACAGCACTGGCAGACTTCCCTTTTGAACTTCCATAGTTTGCTCTGCTGAGCAATAAACTTGTTTTTGTCAAGAATGTATGCAGACTTCGGTTCCATCTAATACCTGTGTTCGATATGCTGAAGGAAAATCTTTTATTTTCAAATATAGAACAAAACCAAATTACTACTGCTGCATTTTGAAGAAAAGACTTCCGTATGCAAACTGTTAACACACATATCCCATGAGAAAATGTAAACTAACCTGAACTCAATTTGACTTCTAAATGGAGTGATAAAATTATTTCCTGGGAAGCTGAGATAAGCCACGTACCATTGTATGTAAATTAGATGACAGCTATAACCACTACAAGACTGAAAACATACGACATAACTTTTGAGTTTCCTTTAGTTTTACTGGGGACTACAACCAGTTTCCTAATGAGACAGTTGTGTTGTAGGAAGGAAAGGGAATAGAATCATAGAATCATTTAGGTTGGAAAAGACCCTTAATATCAACTCCAACTGATAACCTAGCACTGCCAAGTCCACCACTAAACCATGTCCCTAAGCACCACATCTACACGTCTTTCACTCCAGGGATGGGGTCTCAACCCCTCCCCTGGGCAGCCTCTCGTCCTATCGCTTGATACTTGGGAGAAGAGACCGACCCCCACCTCGCTCCAGCCTCCGTTCAGGTAGTTGTAGAGAGCAATAAGGTCTCCCCTCAGCCTCCTCTTCTCCAGGCTAAACAACCCCAGCTCCCTCAGCCACTCCTCATAAGACTTGTGCTCTAGACCCTTCACCAGCTTCGTTGCCCTTCTTCGGACACGCTCCAGCACCTCGATGTCCTTCTTGTAGTGAGGGGCCCAAAACTGAACACAGTACTCGAGGTGTGGCCTCACCAGTGTCGAGTACAGGGGGACGATCACCTCCCTGGTCCTGCTGGCCACACTATTCCTGATACAAATAGTGCTGCAGCAAAGAGTTGTTCGGACAACCAAAACCAATGGCCTAGGAATTTACTTGGCGCTCTATATTTTAAGCAAAAGTCAGTATGGTACTGTAGAAGAAAGCGTAAAATACTGTGGTGGGTTGACCCTGGCTGGATGCCAGGTGCCACCAAGGCGCTCTGTCACTGCCCTCCTCAGCAGGATGGGGCAGGAGAAAATGAGACAGAAAAAACCAACCTCGTGGGTCAAACTAAAGGCAGTTTAATAAAAGCAAAAGCAAAGGCCGTGCACAGAAGCAAAAGGAAAACAAAGATTTTATTCTCTACTTCCCATTACCAGGCGATGTCCAGTCACCTCCTGGGAAGCAGGGCTTCAATACACAGAGCAGTTGCTCCAGAAGACAAACAACATAAACAACTGCTGTCCCCCTCCTCCTCCTTTCTCTTAGCTTTTATTGCTGAGCAGACATCATATGGTGTAGAGTATCCCTTTGGTCAGTTTGGGTCAGCTGTCCTGGCTCTGCCCCCTCCCAAGATCTTGCCCACCCCCAGCCTACTGGTGAGGGGAAGGAAACCTTGGAGAGACAGCCTTGATGCTGCGCCAGCACTGCTCAGCAGTAGCCAAGACACCCGTGTGTTACCAACACCTTTCTAGCTACCAATGCAAAGCCCAGCACTATGAGGGCTGCTACGGGGAAAATTAACTCCATCTCAGCCAAACCCCATACAAATACCGTAACTGAGTTACTCTGTTGTTCCTTAAGGATGGAATTTAATGTTGTAGTTTTCAGAGATTTGCTAATCCAGACTTTTAGTGCCATCAGCTAGCTGATCTGTGTTTTGGATCTATTTAAAAGTGAGGGTAGTTCATACTAACTATGAAGGGAGGCAGTAGCAGTGATTCTGTAGTCATGATGCTCCCTGAAATTTAAACAAAACAAAGACATTTAATGCTAAGATTTTTCCCCTCCCTGGCTGAGGGTGGCAAGGAGGGAAAGTTTTTTGCCTTGCTTCATAGTCCTTCACACGTCATATACTTTGGCTTTTTGGATGCATAAAATTTTGAAGGCATGCTAGAACTGGTGTATTTAATTCTCATGCTGGCTAACTGTAACATTTAAATCTTTAAACAGAGCATGAGGATTAGCTTTGGTAAAGAACGTAAGCACAGCAATCATCTTTCAAGCACTTTGCTGCCTGCCCAGGTCTGTAGCTCTCTTCAGGGGTTTGTGTCCCCTCTGCAGATCAAAAGTTACTCTAGGAAAGAAATTATAGAAGATGTTTCAAAAGACTGGTGGGAAAGGTGGCAGAGTGAGCCTTAAGTTTGCCAATCTTTGTTAAACCGTCTACTAGGTTTTGAGGAGTCTTACCTGGCAGCTGTTCGTAGCAAGCTTAATGCACAGGCAGGTTCAACTCTGGAAACAACAACAGAAGAGCCTCCCCTGTTGAGCTGCTGGCAGGGGCACCACCATCGATAATACACTTTAGTTAAGTACCTGCTTAGGAAGCGAGAGTGAGTTGCCACAATTTCCACCTCCTGAGCAACTGTCCTGTTGCATGGGTGCAGCCGGGGACACCTTCAAGATTCACATTCTCTTGGTGCTGTAATACTTCAGCAAAGCACTTGAGGTGAAGAGCATGGCTAGCCAAAAGGTTTGAGCACTCCACAGGGACAGAAGAGACCATGCTGGATTACACAGCTCTTCGGTAACACACACAGGTTCATGAACGGGACTCCAGGAACTGCCCCAACGCTTAGGGCTCAGATGCCTGCTACCCTCACACGCTCTGGCCCTGGAAGTCTTCTCTCTCAGCTACAGCGCTGCACAGCTGCTACAGGAGCACGACTCTGCCGTCCTTCCCCTCAGTTAACATGCAGCGTGAGCCAGAAAACAAGACAGAGATGTTTACCCCTCAGATTCAGAAGCAAAAGGCACTGTTTTCCCAGAAGACAGCACAAGAGTGGCCACGCTCCTTCACTCATGTGCAATCACCCCAAGATCAGGGCAAAGAGCCAGGCTGCAGGAAATCCACGTTCACGTCTGTCTTCTACCTGGACATATTTGGTCCCATCATGGCCTCAACATTTTTCCAAACAATAGTACTGGGGAGGATTTGCCTTCTGATTTCAGAGAAGAGAGGAGAAAAGAAAATGCCTGCCTACCATTTCTTCTACTTTTTTTTTTTTTTTTGAGGGGAGGGAAGTCAGAGAACATGAGTGTACCATTCACCTAGCATTCAAGACCACCCATCCGGATTAGGGAGAGTTGGGCCATGATCGCTTCTTAGCAAGGACAGAGCTATGCCCTGCTGTCCTCAAGTTAGGCAGCAGCTTGGCAAGGACTGCCGAGGCTCTGCCTTTAGAGCTGAAGCAGAAGGTACCGAGTCCCTTGGTGAACCTCCTCATCCCAGCAGGCTCCAATGTGAATGCCCAGCCAGGAAGGCACCTTCCTGCCTTTTGCAAGTTAAGAATGTAAGTCTTGGATGGAGTTGAGATTAAATCCTTCTTGTTACCTCAGGTATCACTACCATCAATTATATTTTCAGGCAGTTAATTCTGCTCAGACCTCATACAGGGAGTCAAAGCTCCCTCTGCACCATCCCTTAACGGATGCTACTAGCAGACAGGTATCGCAGTGGCCGGCGTTCTAAAGCCCAACTGCACCATTAGATGTCTGAAAGATCTCCTTTGAAACCCTTCTGAATTCATGAGGTCCCAAGCTGGTGCATAGCCAAGGGTCAGACAAACCACGTTCAACCCCTTCCTTTGTTTGAAGGAGGTCGAATGCTTTACTCACAACGCAAGCAGGGAAAGTATTTATCACTGTCTCTGGGGCAGAATCCTCTCACCACAATTTAACAAGAAAAAGAAACCAAACCACAAACCATTCACACACTGGAAAAGGAACGGGAAGAAAGAAAAACCGCGCTGCTATAAGGAGGTGGGTAGGGCTAGCAGTTATGAAGAACAGACAAATTTATCTTCATCTAAATTGATGTTTTCAGGTACAGAATGCAACTTTCAGCAAAATCTGCTGTCAGAATTACAGGCATGTTTAAAAGGAAAGTTTAGACATTTGCATTTCATGAGATATTCAAGTCACATTCAAAAGATGCTCACAGCACAGAGGCTTCACTACCACAATTTGGCACTTTCAGCTAGAACAGTTTCTTACTGCAAATTTTCTCGGTGCTCACGTTACTGCAGCATCCGTGAGCTGAAAGAACTGCTATCATATCTAGCTACGACGCTACGCTGGAATGCATATAAAGTGCTTCAGAAGCTGCTCTGGTTGCCGAGCATTCATGAGGGAATTCAAACAGCTCCCCCAACAACAAACATCAGCCCTCCTACAATTTGGGAAGCGCAGTACACAGACTTCCAAGGACTGCGGGTAGAGCATTTCTCTTCTGCTTACCAGCCACATATATAGCAAAACTTCTTGTTCCAAAGTCAGGATAAAAACACTACCAGGAACAATTTATGAATACGTATTTACACAAGATACTTTTCATTAGAATTACAGACTTCATAGGAAATCAAAGTAGACAAAGGAATATGTGCAATTTCGCAGAAGCGTTGAAAACATTCAAACTATAAATATCCTGATAGCACTACTAAAATTCTTAGTTTTACACACAGGCTGATGTTATTCTACTGAGGAAAAACTAAGGTTTTGTGCCACAACTGTAAATTAAGTACAGTAATGTATTATCATTCCGGCAACATAGATAACACCTGCACTGAACAGTGCGATACTGTTAAATCAATCCACTGATCTATTGAAGATCAAAGTACAAATCTGTATTTTTATTGATTTGGCAGCGTTGCTTATGGAGAAACAAATGCACTGGTTAAACCAGTACACTGTCATACTGCTCCAGTTACAAAAACATCCAGGACTTTCATAGAGCTACAAACGTATCGTACTTCATGATTTTCCCCCAAATGATGATATCCACGTGAAGTAAATAAGCAAAGATACTCAAGTTTGTATCCTTCATTCTGTTACACTGACAAACATACACCACCACTTAATAAATAGAAATGCAGCAGTTCATCCACATAATAGCAAATATTTTTGTACCCTAATCCACCACTGAAGTTCAGTTTGTACAAAACAGTCTTTTCTACAGAGTGGAAAAAAAATACCTTCTTCTCATCAAGGTGCAAGCTAAGCTTTGAAACTTAAATGAATGTGCTTTTATTCTTTTCATGGACAATAAAAGAGTTTCATGGACCTTCGATTTATCTGAAAATGCATAAATTTGGTCACATATGGATGCCATCATTGTTCAGGTTTAATGGACTATTTCAGTATCACTGACGTTGTGCTTTTACTCCTCTTGAACAATACCATTCCAAGAGTTATGGAGATCAAATTAACTCAAATGATGACCTCAGAGTTCTATAAACATAAGTGTCCTCATTGTAATACAAGACCAACCTAAAGGAAGAAGAAAAATACAGTATTTTAGTTCAAGTATGGCAATAAATCTAAACATCGTTAGTTTTCTGCACCTCAATTATGGATCTTAAATATGACTAATTAAAAAAGTTATTTTAAAACTTCTGCCCATTTTGGCCAGTGTAAATTAATGTACCATTATACCTAGCAGAATTCAGAAGCTCTTTTTTTCTCCCTTACCTTTTCAGATTCCATGCCAGGACACCTCCAGTTGTACAAATAATACTGCAAATTTCCATCTCCAATCCCAAACTTGAGTTTTTCCAGGAATGTTTTGTTTTCCATTAAGTCTAGTGCATTGAACACATCAAATCCTTTCTGGCAATAGCAAAACATTTTTTAAATTTTACTTTTTAAAGTTTCAAATTATGCACAAATGATACGTTACACAGTGGCATACAATATCCAAGAGACCGAGCTAATTAAGTGGAAAAAAAAGACAAGGGAATAAATCTTGCCTTTTAATTAGGTACACACACAAAGAAATTTTCCCAGTTAAAAAAAAAAAAAAAGTGAAGTATAAGGCACAACTTTGCTTGAAGATTATCTACCAAAGGGTAGGAATTTTAAAGCCGCTTTCAGGGGTAAAGTTCTGAAGAGTCCCTAAAGCATTATCCATTATTTTATCCTTATAGATATGCATTTTTTACAGTCACGTAGTGTTTTGACACACATGGCCTATTCCAGCTAAAGCTGCATAAATACAGCTTATGGTGTTTTTCAGCCATTTATCATTCTGTTAATAATAAACATTATATTTTTGTGATTTGGTCCTTTTCTGAAATGCCATTGTCTTTAGAACTCCAATCTTTCACATGTTACACTCCCTCTCCTACCACGCACCCTCTACCAACTCCTCTCTTCGTCAGCCTCCCGAATTCACCACTCAAAGCGCCATTTTTCTCTCAGAACAGCCACATAGCCACATTAGCCTCAGGGTTTTGTGTGGCAACACAAACATACTCAAATCCCAACTCACTGTGAACTCTTAACAAGCAAAATAAAAACAAGGTCAGTTAAGCCATCGCAGTGACAATCATCATGTATGAATAGCTGAATTTGCTTGGGGATCTGGATAGAAAAGTCCATTTACTTGCAATTAACTGCAAGGGAGTCTGACCTATGATCCTGGAGTCTTAACAGCACAAAGGCAGTGCGCCAGCAGGACTTTTTCTACTCTAAGATAAAAATAAGTTATAAAACAATAATGCTCAGTTACTTAAGCACAAGAAGATGGTAAGGAACATTCTTTACTCAGTATAAAAACAAGATTTTTTTTTTCTTTTAGATAAGCACCTCATATCAGGAAAAAAGGGAGTTGAAGAAAAAGAACATTTTAAGGTCTCCGTCAGTTTAGAACTATTTAAAAGAAAGTCACAAAGCACAGACAGTGAGTTTAGTAAGGTCCCCCGCCACCTTACACAAAGACCATTCTGTGCACAGATGAAGCTATGCTAAGTTAAATGTGCTGTGAAAAACACACAGAAACAAGACAAATAAGGTGGCAAGGATTTGACACTTAGCATCTAAAGAAGTAAATTTTGAAATATTCCAAGTTAGTAATAGACAGTAACAGAAATCTCAGAAGGCAGGAAGGAATGTGGGGGAGAATAGTGACACACTGTAGGTACAGACACACTAAAGGAGCTCTGCAGTTAAGCACTCAAAATTCAAACAAATGATGAAGTCTACAGATGTAGTTTTAATTCAGTATCTAAACATTAGCAGATTAGGTTCAGGTTAATATCTTCTGAGAGGTATTAAAAAGCTCCTGTTCAAAGATACTTGCTCCACAGCTCTGCCAGACGATTAGAGCAGACTCAGAAGTGAACTTCTTCCCTGTTTATAGTCTCTCTCTTGTTCTAGATCTAGAAACTTAGTGTCAGCTTCAACAATAAAATACACAGGGTTTTGGGGGGATTATCCTGCTGCAAAATCCCACTCTCTCCATGCAGAATACATGGAACCTAAGTGCATAACTCGAAATTTGGGGTTTTGCTTTGGAGGTCAGGCATTTTGTCCTATAATTGCCAAGATTTTACTAGACTTAGTTCTAAGCTAATTTTACGTAATATAATATGAAAATAAAAATCAACATTAAACTGACATGCAAACCCTGAAAGCAATTTGCGGAGTTGAATTTGTACCTCCAAAATGCATTCTTTGGGAGTAAAAGTACAGAAAGGACTGAGGTGGGGTGTCCCCAGCCAAGAGCCAAACACCCACCCCAGCCTTTCACTTGCTCCTCTTCCACGGGATGGGAAGAAAATACAAGGAAGGCAAGACAACTTGTGAATTGAAATAATGACAGTTTAATAGAGAAAGCAAAAGCTGCACGCACAAACAAAGCAAAAAGAGGAATTAATTGACTGCTTCCCATCGGCAGGCAGATGTCAAGCTACTTCCTGGAAAGCAAGGTCTCAGCGTGCATAAGGGCGGTTTGGGAAGATAAATGCCATAACCAGGAGCATCCCCCCTTCCTCCTCCTTTCCTTCAGCCTTTATTGTGGAGCACATCATCCTATGGTGTGGAATATCCCTCCGGTCAGTTGGGGTCAGCTGTCCTGGCTGTGACCCCTCTTGCCCACCCTCGGCCAACTCGCTGGGGGTGAAAGAGGGAAAAAGCCTTGAGGCTGCGCAAGCACTGTTCAGCAATAGCCAAAACACTGGTGTGTTTTCAGGCCTGTTTTAGTCACAAATACAAAGCACAGCACCATATGGGCTGCTAGGAAGAAAGTTAACTCCATCCCAGCCAGACCCAGCATATTTGTAAACAGAAAGCTGTGAATAGGAGTGCATTTATCATTTCTCTTGCCTCATCTCTCCTCATCTAAAAGTCCAAGTGCCAGATCTTCAAACATAACTAGGCATCTAATGATGCAGACAGGCCCAGCAGGTACTTTGGAAATCCACAGGCACCTAAATCCCAGTATTCTAACTATATGATGATCCATTTAAAAGAAAAGACTCACACGTCACATTCAGAAACAAATGTAGACAGAGGAAGGTGCAAAGCCTTGTGGTTAGACCACGTAACTGCGTCCTCACTCGTTCCATCCATGGCCTAGGAAATGGCCAGCCACTCAGCTCCCTATGCCACACTTCAAATGGAGACCAACGTTTATTCCTTTCTCCACTCTGACTTTTAAAAGCAAGTAGTACTAGTATTTTTAGCCACTTCTGAAAATTATACTAGCCAGCTTCCTGTATCTTCATACCTTTCAAAGTCTGTCTCTGAACTTCCTTTGGTATTACTCTGGAGCCTGAATAATGGGGTTCTATATTCCCCACAACTATCCAGGAGTTTTCCTTGCCAAATAGTTATTCAAGTCAATACTGCTTATAGGTCAACAAACCTCAGCAAGCAGTTCATGTCATAGATAGCAGCTCAGCTGCAATGCTGCACAAACATGGCTGAGACAGACAAGTTGAAGACTATGTGGCTGCTTTCATGCAGCCTGAAGTCTGAACAGATGCAGCCTTTGCAGACCATCACTGGCTTCATACAGATCAACACAGAAATCCCTGTGCCACATGCAGCGCAGACGGCTCTGACCATGGTCGGCTGGAGCACAGCTAACATTTGCTTGCACTGAGCACTCATCTGGTAGGTGTAATACCACAAGCAGTGCGGCAGCAACACTTCAGTTGGAAGGGAGGGGCAAGCTTCAAAGCATGAGGAGCAGAAAACATGCCTATGCTCTGCAGCGTGTTGGGAATGGTTGCTAGAATGGATGCCATGGACTGGATGAAGCCTGTGCAGTGCTGTAAATTGCCAGGGCTAAACAGGTCTCTCAGAATTTATTCAGAGTGCTGGGATGTGCATCACCTGCACTGCTCTGTACCACAGACTACACTGCCATTGGTGTTTGCGCTGCACTCCCATGAAACCCTGATGATTAAGAGCTGAGCATTAGTTTTTCATCAGACAGCACTAAACTCTTACAATTTCTATGTTTAAAAACTTCATTTATAGTCTCTTATCCTCCATTCAACTAAACCATCTATCAGCGTAATTCCATGCACGAAGGTGTGCTTAAAAGCTACATGACATCATCTACAGAGCTTTACAGGCAGCAATTAGTAACAAGACAAAATGAGAAAGCTTGCAAAAATAAACTTTTACGTTTTGTAGAAATAAAAAATAGCTTAAACAAACAAACAAAATGTATTTAATAGAACTTATTAACTCATCTCCAAGGGAAACTATTTTAGTGATACTTTCCATTCTTCTGGTACTTAGTGAACATGGTCATTGATGTGCTCTTGGATGTTTACACAGTTCAAGCTATTGCAAACACTTGATCTTCATGCACTTGTCATTCCCTAGCATCACTCAAAGTAAAAAGAAAAAACAAACATAGTGTTTTATATTTTAATATATGTATTGTATATGTCTCATCAACTGCACTCTGTGCTGTAGACAGTAAATGAAAACAGAATGCAATGGCATGGATAAATTGCTGTCAGTTCTTACCTTGCCACCACTCCTAAGAATACTTCTGTGAAAGAAGCAGGAAAAAAAACCAAACCCACAACTTACCAATTTAGCTATAATGAGTGCATCATTCATTAAGTCCAAGAGGGGGGTCTCTGTATGAATATTGTAAAAGGAATAGGCAGCTTTGAGGCTTTTATGAACAGGATGGTGCATCACTGTTGAAGGTAATGTGTAGAAACTCAGGAAGTCTGTTAAAATACCATTTGAGCCCTACAAAAAAAAAAAGGCAATTAATAAGCAGTAACCGCTCAGTTATTGGTTAGGCTAACATGGCAGTTCTGCAGAAAGTCAATAATAAATGCAGCACAGTTTTGCACACCGTAAGTATTATGGTATAACAGGTAATCTTGGCTAAGATTTGAAGAAATTGAATTCTTGCCGAGGATGTATCCATACATCAAAGCAAGACTGAAGCCTGAAATAGTCACTTCAGAAAAGGAAACAAACATTTACATTTTTCTAGTCTATTACACCAATAACATTTTGACAACCAATTGCCAAGGATTTCAGTTTGTTTCCCAGGCTTAGCCTGCTACAAACAAAGTTGACAAAGCACACTTCCTCAAAAAGTATAGAATTTTTTTTCCAATTGAACTTATTTTTAAAAGATTATTTTTTAAATCTGATGTTCACATTGAGGAATAATTTTCTCAACTTTCTAAAACCAGAAAAAAAATATACTATACTGGTATACAAAGCATATCTAAATCAGCTGTAGCGATTATTAATCAACAAGCACAATCCATTTGCTAGACAACAGTGCTAAATCACACTGAAATTCTAATAAGACCAGTAGTCATCAAAAAAGGTACTTATACAGAAATCTAAAGTATCCTACATAAACTTTCTTAATATTTCACGTACCCTAATGGAGTTTAACCATCTTCAAGAGTGTAGATTAGTAGGAAATGGGACATAATTATTACATGGGTTATGACTGACATGCTGAGCACAAAAGAACTACCCAGATCTTCACCCCTCCTATTCCAAGTGGGTCTCCTGATATCTCAAAGAATATAAGGCAAAGGAGACACACAAATGCTTGTTCTTGCTTGTTTGCTTTATTTTTGAATGATTGGTGCCCACTATTTTGAGCTCAATGAAGGACCTCACATGGATCCTTAAATTGATAGTACTTCTACAGTAAAAAGTAAGAGTTGAAGCCATCACATGCAAAAAAAGCTATTGTCTTAGAGCAGGTACAGATTCTGTAGTAGAGATAAACTAACAACAAATAACAGAAAAGTTATTAAGTCACTCACTAAATTCAGGAAGGATGGTGAAAATATTAATTCAGGAATTATACAGAGTATTTTAAGGCTTTAGCTCTGCACATTACAAAGATGACTTAAAAATCTGACACTAACTTCTCCAGGTCACACAGGTCTTAAAAAGATTTTAAGCACTAACAAACCTACATTTTGTAGATTGAAAAACTAGTTCAAGAGACAGCGTAAAACAAGCAAGTGAAGACTGAGCTGTCCAGTTAAAATGGCACTGTCAATGGCACACTCATGCTGATCCTGGTGCTTGTGGACTCTTCTGTAGGCTTCAACTCACCAACAAAGCCGAAAACCAACCCAGGGAGCGGGGCAGGGAAGAAGAAGGGGTGGAGAAAGAAGGAGGGACAATAAATTAAATTAGACCATAGAAGAGTCCATTGAGCGCTAGAGCCACTAAAAAGTAAGTAGAAAGCTAAGCTTGGACAATGACAACTGGTGAACAGGACCTCTCATCTCCAGCAGCAGGTTTCTAAATTCAGCTAAGACTCCTCCACAGTGTGGGAACACTGAGCTTCACAACCTGCAGCTTCTGTGAGGAGCTGGTAGGTTTAAGGATGTTAGTGCTAGTCGTTTTCAAATAACCTTATCACTTTAAACAAAGCAATACACTATTTAAATATGATGTCTACAACTGATTTAGCATGGACTCAGAGGGAAGAGTGTATCTTTCTCCACTAGCTCTAATCACAGCTATTCCAACCATGCCTTGGAGATTTCCAATCCATATGCTAATCTATTCCTGTACTGCGTATTTTGTGAGAAGCGTTGTGACCAACAGGTTGGAGGGTGGGGGTGGTAGGGTGGGGAGAGAAGAGTAAGTGATAGGAACAGATGACGGTGTCCATCCTGCTAGTGGACGAAGATTATAATTTTTAAGATAATTGAACTCCTAGCTGAGAGCAACTCATGACAGCACCAAGGGATGTTAACTTTTACTTCTCTATTTTACATATATTCATGCATATACATGTATAGATATGCACACACACGCATATACAAATTCATACACATATATACACAAACACTCTTTTACTGAAAAATATATTTTACTGAAGCAGACCATCAAAAAACATAATTCCCCCAGCAGGTGTCCCTAAAATTGGTTTTAAAAACAAAGAATTTTGAACTGGTGTATGGCAGAAACTTAGACACCTGAGAGAATGATACTGAATTCGAACCAAATCCTTATCTCAGTCATTGTATCACTTTTCCTTTTGTCTAGAAAAGGAGATTTGAAGACCACTGCTTATTATCGTGTCATATCTCTATGGAAAAAAAAACGGAGGAATGCAGGTAGAAAGGCTGGTTTTAAAATATGTAAGGTTCTCTGCTGTAATATTTCCAAGATAGTGATATTTTGAGATTTCAAAATTCTTCTTTAAAATACCCTGTTATAAGAGCACTGCAGTTTATCACAACCAAACACTTTCTCATTAACAGAATGCAATACAAAGAACAAACCTTGGAATCATGATATCAAATTCTACCTATAGCACACATTTTTCATACTGTCTGCATTTCAAAAACTTGATGCTGATACGAACTTTTGTAAGTGGCATTCACATGTACATTCATGAAGCAGTTAGGTCATGTTTTACCTCTACTACATAAGTGTCAATAATATGATCCCGAGGCAGGAACCAGTGGGCTACCTCTTCTTCATCCATCACAGGAGCAAGATTAAACTGTTTCAAGTAAGTGTTGATTAATTCTTGTACTGCTTTAGTATCTTTTTGTTCCATTGGTCTCAAACCTGAAGTCTTTGTGGCCTTATTGTAACAAAAGAAAAAATAAATGTTAAGATGTTGAAAGGAAAACTGCATACACAGCAAAGGCTGAAAGTAGGTTGCAGAGTCACTCCACTTGCTATGCATTCATTATTAGCCTACTTTACCCCAGCCACCTAATTCATTATGCTATTTTACAAACGGCTTTCAATCAGAATTCCCTCTCTTCTAATTATTGAGACAGTCTGGGGCACTTCAATCTTTTTATTTCATTACTGAAACAACTTCATTTCTCCAGAGAAAGAGATACCATTGCCAACAGCCTAGACTTCATGCATTTTGTATTATTATTTTTTTTTTAGGTCAGTCTTTATTTCTTATCTTCTTCTGAACTACCTAGGGCCCAGACACAGAAACAAAACATAAACCAACTTGCATATCAGAAGTTAATCTGAAGACAAGAACACTTGTGATTCAAACTTATAAAAATTACAGTCAATCTATAAACTAAAGTCAGCTGATAAAGTTTAATTAGAAATTATTTAACAAAAAAATTCCATCTATTCTTAACACTTGCAAACTCCCTTGCTAACTCAACTTTCTATACAGGCTCAACTGCTGTTCTGTTGACAAGAAAGCTTCTCATAACTTACACCTGCCTGAAATTAAAAACCTACAGCATTTTAACAAATAAAGTTATTTGACTTTAAACACCAGAAGAGGAAAAAATTGCTTTCCAGTACTATGCCGTTAATGTTTACACAAGCAAAGGTGACTAAAGTTTTCTCCCCAGCTTTTGTTAGCTTTCCCGGATATTTCCTTTCAGGGAGGCTAAGGCTTGTTCTCTTCAGAGCTCATTTATCCTGCTTCATCTGTCTGAGCTACATACCTGGGCACGTATCACATTAATCATACCAAAGTCAATTGCAAGAGCAGCCAGGTAGAGACTTGATTACTGGAAGCCTGAAATTAGTATAGCTGATCATGCTCTGCTCAAAAGGCATTATTCTGGGGGAGGTGTTTATTCACGTACTCTGGGAGTCAGCAGCCAGATGAAAAATCAAGGCATGTTTTCCCACAGCTCTGGCCTGAATATTAGATTTTAGTCTTCCTGCCTTCCTGAGCAGCCCCGGACTATGGTTCTCCTCCACAACAGCACATCGTCTAGATTTTTAAATGCCCTGAATCCATAAGGGTATTCACCTGACTCATCAACATGACGCTTCCTGTGCCATATTTCATTCGTAACCTCCTCATGAACTACAATATAAAAGGTTAATTTCAGCTCCCTCCAAGCCTTTGTCCCTCTTCTAAAGCCATACACTGGAGCAGGATGGGAGGAAAAGCAGCTGGGCTGGAACATCTTTATCCCCCAGCAACGCTCAGAATGGCCACTGGTAAATTATTATTTGCAGCCCCAGAAGTGAGGGAAAGTGTACAGAACCAGGCTAAAATTTGTTTCTGTGCACCACATATCAAGCTACACTGGGCATATATTCATGCGAGTATCCTGGCTCAGGATCTTGATCGGTAAGGAAAAGACATACCAACACGCTCCCATCCTTATTCTAAACACAGCCAAAATTACCTCTTTCAAAAACTCCTTGCTCAAGAGATTAAATGCTTAGAAAAAAACCACTTTATTTTTTATATCTATAGGTACATGCACAAACACAGCCTTCAGTGAGGGTGGTATTTATTAATTACAGTATTTATTATTTCTGAAAACCTTTTTAATTCAGACTGTTCAAGTGATTAGGAATGATTAATTCCTCTTAAAGGGAGATGAGCTCCCAGTGGCAATGATATTCTAAGGATGCTAAGAAAACAGGTTACAATGCAAGAAACAGTGTTTGGTGCTGAGGGATAGGATAATGTGGCCCAAATGAACAAAGTTGTGTGACAGTACCATTTATGGTAACGGCCTGAAACTGAGGATAAAGATCCTCAACAGCACTTAAACTCTTTCTTAGGAAAAAAAAACTCTAAAAAAACCCAAAGCACAAGACCTAAAGGGAAAACATTAGCACAAAGATTAAATCTTTATTTTCCATGGGAGAAGCTCCCAAGTCCAATCTAAAAATAAACAAACAGCTGAGGCATATGGACTCCTACATCACTTTTAGTTTTAAAAGCTGATTTTCAAAGCACCTATTTTCTATTTGCACATCTCTGTACAGTATGTTTGCCTTAGCTATATTTTATGAATGAGATATGATGTATTTTTTGTTCTCCGTAATTTATTTTTCTGTTGAAATCTGGGTTTTATGATAAAGGAAGATGATCAGGGTACAACTGCTGTTATGTCTAATTATTCTCGGTAGTTACACTTTTTGTACTGTAAGATTCTTATTCTTTAAACTATTCCTCTCCTGTATTGTTTCCATGAGAAAGAGTACTAGAGTTGCCACCAAAACCTGTATTTGTAATTGTCTGCTGCATTTTTTTTAGACTATTAAAAATGTCTTCAAGATTTGATGGAAGCTATATTTAGCTCTCCAAAATTAAAGCCTAATTAATTTGGTTATTAATTCTTAAGCTCTGAAAACGGCTGCCCTGCACGCAAGGGAGAACCTGCGTGTGCAGGCACAGGTAGCATGCAGGCAGCGCAGGAAACGAGTCTCTCTGACAGCAGCAGGAGTTCAGATCAAGCCATGGCATGTGCTTTATACTGAGGAGTGCTCAGAGTATTAGTCAAATATATAAGTAGTAAGAGAACCTGCAGCATCAAGCTAAATATAACCAACAGACACAATTCTCCAAAGTCAAATAAATCATTACAAAGTACAAGTGAGGGAAAAAGTATTTTTTTAACCTAAAGGGAGGGTTTGTTTAAATAAAAAAAAAGTTTACTGATATGGTACAGGTAAAGGATATTCTGCAATCCCTCCAAATAGAAAGGTAGCTTTTACAACCAAAGAAACTGCTGTCAGTCGTAAAACTTAGACAAGCTCCTATAGGCTATTAATTACAGCAATGAGATTTTTTAATAGTACATCTCAGACAACGTACAGTGACTTGCCCTGGCATGGAAATGCATCCTTAAGGCTTTTTGCCAGCCTAACTATTAGCTGCAAACATGAAAAAAAAAATTTTTAACTAACCTAGCTATGCCAGAATACTACTTTGGTTTTTTTGCTAGACCATGCAAAGAAACAGTACATAACATACTGAGGTGGCTTTTGCTGAGCCTGCTCATTGCAGAAGAACATTCTCTGACAGAACACAAAAAGCTGTGAATTAGAGTGGAATCAACAGTCCCACTGTACTCAGCCAACTTTCTGATGGACTTCTCTGAGAATTTTAAGACCCGAACTATTCATTTTCTGTTCCAGTAATCTTTTATCAGATATATCATACCGAGAATAATTTTATGTATCTTCGACTCAATCCCACATGTTTATGAAGTCAAAGTTTCTGGTTTTTTCTTTCTTTGTTTAAGGCTTTTAAGTCAAAATTTATATTTTCTCCATATACAGATCTACATTTCCAGCAATAGTCTCTTCTGTTTAGTATAGCCCTTAAGGTCTTTTTCATCAACGAGATTTTTTTTTTTTTAATGTCCTGCACACACTGGCTTTCCACAGAAAAGCCTGTGCTGTCAGAGACAGATGGAAGGTTATTTTGGGCCTCACAATAACTGTGGGGATTCTCTGCAGTCATACTGCTTACATCAGGAAGTCTGTAGAGCTTCATTGTTCTTTGTAGAGTCATGTTTCTACTCAAATGTGAAAATTTCACCTCCACCAATTTCCTGGGATTCAGTGATCGATGCCAATACCTGGAAATAAAATTAATACTGAGATTAAATAGTATTTTAAGTATCAGCTTCACTTGCATCCATTTCCCTGCTTTCTCACATTGCTCCTTCTCCTCTCCAAATTTGTTTCTAAGCAAGCCTGTACTATGTCTGTAAGAAGCTTGACCAACAAAAGATAAAGAAAAGCTATATCCAAGCAATAGCTTTTAAACAGGCTTGCTACCATCATACTTTGAATCTAAGCAAATGCTTTTTATTACACAATGAGTAATCACAGGGCTAAACATTTTAGTACTTGCTACAGCCCTCACAATCTCACATGGTAACATTTATTTTCTTGTACAGACAAGACCCTCTGCTCATGTCTAAGTAGTTTGTTGAAGGAGATGTCCTCTTCCTAGGAGATTATTGTGCAACAGAACATCTCGAGTTACTCTAACACACCATGGGTTTTTTTTTTCCCCATCCTTCATTACAGAGACTTACAGGATCTTTGGTGTTGATAGGTGGAAAACCAATTTAAAATCAAAAAGTATCCTGTCCTCCAGAAGGATAGACAGCTGAACTAAGACCGCTGGAACTAAACTTTTCCCAGTAGAAATAAAATCCATTCCAAGCAAACAAAATTATATTTGATTACATACAACTCTTCTCACGTGACAGTTTTCCCATCTTTACCAAATGCCGATGAAGTCGTCCTTTCTCCAGGAAAGACAAAAGCATTTCAAAAAAGCAAATCATACAATTCCCAGAAATGCTCTGCCATCTTTGGCAAGCAACCAGGTCAACAGGGAAGTGTCCCAGCAGGGAAACAGGCCACATGAAAAACACAGGTATACAATGTTGTCATTGCTAGCATGGCTTCCACCAGAAGGTCAACAGAAACATCTATTAGTCTATTTAAGATACGATAAACAACCCCAAATTTAGATTTTAGTCTGAGAAGCTGTTTTATCCAAGGCACTGGGAGGGAGGGAAGAGGAGAGGAAAAAAAAAAAAAAAAAAAAAAAAAAAAAAAAAAAAAAAAAAGAAAGAAACCAAAAAAACCCACCCTGACAAACATTCAGACCTTCAGGTTAGTCACAACATTTAATTTCTTTGAATTTTATGCTTTTATTGTTTCTAGCCAATTACATAAAATGTTCTTTAAAATGACTGCTATAGGAACTGATATTATTATGAACATCACCTAGGTTACCTGCAAGTGGCCACGGGTTTGGGGAGTACCACTCCAGCAGTGTAAACAGCCTGAAAAATTCCTTCCAGGTTTACTCTTCTGGTTATTTCCCGAATCAGTACAGGTGCTACCCGTTTAGATCTCAGTTTCTTATGGACACACAGAAAATTGATTTCTACCATTTTCTTCACACTAAAAGGACATTAAATAGTGGAAAAGTTAGAGTTGCACATCGCATATTTTGATTTGCATAACTGTAGTCTTCCATGTTGTGACAGAAGAATCTGAGGTAAAAATAAATCGGCCTGCGACAAAGTACATCGGCACCAAATACTAATCTATGAGATTGCGACTGCAATGGCAAATTGTGCAATATGCAAGCTGTGTCTAAGATATTTGCAACACTCTTTTTTCAGAGCTCTATCAAGACTTAAGCAATTGCCTTACTTCAAGATGCATAATGGCATCCAAGCACATGCTATGCGGTATCATAGTACTGTATGATTGTCAGTGTATGAAGACCTGGCCAAGGAAGTCCCGCTGACTGACTATCCTTTAAATACTTTTCAGTAGGGTCAGAAAATTCTATGTCATTATCTGTATCATCTATCAATAAGCAAATTCCTTAAATATGTATTACTGGTTTTCATTGTAAGGAGTCCACAAGCTTAAAAAAAAAAAAGCTGTGCTACATACACAGGATTCTTCTGACTCTTTATGGTCAATGAGCTGCCTTCTCTCTTTTTAAGTTCTCTATGGCAATGGATACCAGTTTAAGATTTGTTTCATGGTGTTATTCTTTTACTAACATAAAAGGTAATGGTGCATTTTACCTGTCATAAATACGAATATTTGCAGGGATGGCACTTATGAATCCTACCAGTTTTTTGTTTGAAGACACTCTAACCCCACAGTGCCATTGGGGTAACCAGCCCGGAGGACGTAGCGCCCTAGAATTGATGACAGAAATAATTACAAATTACTGCCTAAGAAGATGTAATAAAAACACCCTTCTTTGCACTCCAGCCAGAGCAGAATGTGGAACTTGCTACTCACCACAGAAGAAATTCAGGTGAATAATCAAACCTAAACATATTATCATCATCTTCTACATAATTCTCATTTAACAGTGTGTATAACTCCTTCAGCTGAAAACACAGACAAAAAAATCCAAAGATTTATTCACATGCAATCAGAATAAAATTCCATGATTTTAGATACATATAAAAATTCTTTTACTTACAACTTCAGCATTGCTAAGATCCAATGTGTCCCACATAAAACCTTGTGGCAAAGAATATGGCTCTAGGCGGACATTGTCCTTGTCTGGTTCAATTGCACCATGTGAAGTTATAACTTCATCTTTTGAGGGAGGAGAAGGTAAAAAACAAACAAACAAACAAAAAAACAGTTACATTGCTAGCTTTCCTGATAGTTCTCAAAACTGCATTTAACTCACATCATGTATTTTCTCATAATTCTGTGATAGGAACATGAAGCTTTTAAAAAATGCTGAAAAAAATTAGTATTATTAGCTTATACTACTGCCCATTCTCACAGATCACGTTCAGATTAATGATTATCTCATCAGAACATTTATAGATACGCACAGAACTACCCTACCTCAACTGATACCCAGTGTTTCATAACACAGGACAGCAATTTATCAGCACATGCACAGCATTTAGCTAGCCATGAGATCCACAGTCTCATGATGAGAAACATGTTGTACTCACAGCTAACAAGCTATAGCTTGGATCCTGTTTACCACTGACTTGAACACACCTGAACTCAACAGGATTACTCAGGAGCAGCGGCATGGCAAAGCCAGGGCATTTAAGGGATGCTGGTGAAATGTGGAACTTCTTCCTAAAATCCTACATGAAAGCCTGCTGCTTCTCCTCTCTTACTTTACAACTCCAGTCCCTCAGTATATAGCTATGAACAGAAGCTGTTCCTCTTCTATGGAGCAGCACCTGCCAAATCATAGAATC